AACACATGGGTTGGAAAGAGGTGGACCAGTTTCTTGGCCTCCGTGTTTGCCAGATTGGATTCCACCGGCTTTCTTTTTATGGGGACATGTGAAAACTAATGTTTATTCAACCCAACCTTGATCTTTAGAAGACTTGTGAGCTAGGATAACTTGATTGCTGATATTACTAAAAATCAGCTTGATTGCTGGGATTACTAAAAATCAGCTTCAAAATGTTTTCCACCAACTACAGAATTGTATTACCCTCTGTACTAGTAATGATGGTGAACATGTCGATAATTAACAAGAACATTAAAAAATGTGTTTCTTCTTTCTTAAAAAAAAACAGAGAGAGAGAGAAGCTTAGGAATGAGATATTTCTAGAGGCATAGGAAAGGTGTAAAACGAGAATCTAGAAAGCTACACACTCATGTCTGCAGACCTGAGAAGGCCCTGTGCTCCCCCCTGTGGCTGAACTGATGTTCTGCACAGAGAGTGAAGGCGAAGGTGGCATTGTCAATCGTCTGGTGGGGTGCTGAACGTGTGCCCCAAGAAGCACATGGAGGCCCTCAGCAAAGACTGGAAGATTTTTTGGTTTCAGATGTTTAAGGAAATCTTTGCCCTGTCTTCAGCTGACCGCTAAGCTAACTGAGCAGAGACTTCAGTGGCCACACAGATAATGAATACAGACTTTACAGAATTAGTTTAGAAAAGTCACTCAGCAAAGAAATGACAGCAAACAGCAAAAACAACAAACAAAGAGGGAGAGGAGAATCTGATTTCCAGAGTGGCCACAGTGTATTACTCTAAATGTCCAGTTTTCAACAGAAAACTTTAAGAAATAAGTTTCTTATTACAATAACTCTAAGAAATAAGAAAATATGATGTGCAGGAGGGAAGAGTAGTCAACAGAAACTGTCCCTGAGGAAGCCAAGATACTGGCCTTACTAGACCAGGACTTTAAATCAGCTATACTTTTTGTATGTTCAGAGTTAAAGGAAATTGTTTTTAAAGGACCAAAGTATAAAAACATACTCTAATTAAGTAGAGAATACAAATAAAAAGTCTTTTAAAAAGGATCAAGTAGAAATTCTGGAGTTGAAAAGTATAATAATTGACTCGGCACCTGTAGCTCAGTGGCTAGGGCACCAGCCATATACACCAGAGCTGGTGGGTTTGAATCCAGCCTGGGCCTGCCAAACAATAATGACAACTACAACCAAAAAATAGCAGGGTGTTGTGGCAGGCGCCTGTGGTCCCAGCTTCTGGGGAGGCTGAGGCAAGAGAATCGCTTAAGCCTAAGAGTTTGTGGTTGCTGAGAGCTGTGATGCCACAGCACTCCACCCAAGGTGACAGCTTGAGACTCTGTCTCAAAAGAAAAAAAGAAAAAGAAAAGTATAATAATGAAGGGAAAAATTCACTTAAGTTGCTCAATAGTAAATTTGTGTAGGCAGAAGAAAGAATCACAGAACTTAGATATAGGTCAATTGAAACTATCCAGTCTGAGGAAGAAAAAAATAAATGAAAAAAAATGAACAAAGACTCAGACCCCCAAGGGCACCATCAAGCATATCAACTACACATAATGAGAGTCTCAGAAAAAGAGAGGCAAAGGTGTCAAATGAATAAAAACATAATGGCTGAAGTCTTCCTAAATGTATGAAAAAACATTAATCTACACATTCCAGAAAGTTCCAATGTATATGAATTCAAACTAATCTATTATGTTTGATTACACCTATCACAATCAAACTATCAAAAGACAAAGAATCTTGAAAACAGCTCACACAAGGAAACTTCAGGAAGAATAATAGCTAATTTCTCATCAGAAACCACAAAGTTCAAAAGGCAGTGGGATGACATATTTAGAGTGTTTAAAGAAAAAACCATCAACTAAGAATTTTGTATCTAATGCCAATTTACCTTCCATAAGGATGTCAAAACTATTTGATGGGGAAAAGAAGAGTCTTTTCAACCAATGGCTCTGGGACAACAGATTTCTGCATGTAAAAAAGTGAACTCGGACCTCTAATTCACATCATATGCAAATATTAATTCAAAATGAATCAAAGACCTGAATGAAGAGTTAAAAATATATATTCTTAAACCAAAACATAGGTGTGAATCTTTGTGACCTTGGATCAGGCAATGGTTTCTTAGATATGACATCAAAAGACAAGAAACCAAAGAAAAACAGATAAACTGGACTTCATCAAAATGCCTCACGGTGAAAGTAAAGACAACACATAAAATGGGAAAAATGCTTTCAAATCATGTATCTGATGAGTCCAATATCCGGTAACTCTTACAGTTCATCCATAAAATGACAAGCCAATTTTAAAATGGGCAGAGAAGGTGAACAGACATTCTCTAAAGAAGATATACCAGTGGCCAAAAAGCATTAGAGAAGAGGCTCAGCATCACTAGTGATGAGGGAAGTGCTAATCAAAACCACTGCCACACTCCTACTAAGCGCTGCAACAACAACAACGTGAACCGCAAATGTTGGCAAGGATGGAAGACACAGAGCCCTCAGACCTGTGTGACTGTGAAATGGTAGTGCTTTGGAAAAAAATTTGGAGGTTCCTCTGAAAGTTAACATAGAATTATCACATGGCCTAGCAATTCCACTTATACATAGCCAAGAAAATCATCTGTACGCGAATGTCCATAGCAGATCCAGAAAGCAACACTATCCAGAAAGCAAAACAGCCCAGTCAGTATTCAATATTTACCAACTGATATTCAGACAAACAAATATGGCAGATCCATACAATGGACTATCGTTCAGCTATTAAAAGGCACGAAGTGCTGACATGTGCTGCAACAGGAATAGAATGTGAAAAACTTATGGAAGGGAAAGACAGAAAAGGCCACATTTTATATGATTCCATTTATATGCAATGCCTAGAGTAGGAAAATCCAACAGCGGCGGAAAGTATACCAGGGGGGGCCGGGGAGGTGCGGGGGAGAGGAAAGATGGCGACTAAAGATGCAGAATATTTTTAGGGGTAGGTTATGAAAATGTTCTGGAATTAGAATCAGAATCAGGATGGTGCCTGTGGCTCAGTGGGTAGGGTGCCAGCCCCATATACCCAGGGTGGTGGGTTCAAACCCAACCCCGGCCAAATTGCAATATCTGGGCATTGTGGTGGGCGCCTATAGTCCCAGCTACTCAGGAGGATGAGGCAAGAGAATCACCTAAGCCCAGGAGTTGGAGGTTGCTGTGAGCTGTGACACCACAGCACTCTATCAAGGGCAATAAAGTCAGATTCTGTCTCTACAAAAAAAAAAAAAAAAAGCTTTACATAACCACACAAAACCACAAAAAACTCCCTCACAATATAAAGCAAGCACAGGTGTCTGTGAAAATACGGCCACAGTTATTCTCCCTACAAGGAAGGAGATATTTTCTTTAACGTATCTCCGACCTACACACCCACCAGGAGCTGGACTCAGTGTTTCTCTCTAGACTCAGTTAGCGGTAACCCACCTTTAACATTGTTTTGTTGCTCCATCAATAATTTACTTATTTCTGAAAACCAGCAGTCTCTGATTTCTTTTGAAGCTGCCTGCAATTACAGATAAGAAAATACTATGAGTATCAATCAGATCACCCTGAGAATTAATTAGACAGGGTTCTTGTTCTCTGAGTGACTTAGAAGGATAAGATGGAAAATAACTCGGGAAGTTATGGGAACACAGTAAGGAAAGCACAAAGGAGCCGTACGGGGAAGGCATGTCTGTACCTGCAGGATGTACTTCTCAAGTCCATTGCGGCTGGCAATTTCAAACTTTTTATTGCTCCCCCTTCCAACTTGGTGAATTGAAAGTGTCATCAACTATTGCAAAGAAGGAAGAGAAAGGTTCTATAGCATCATTTTCTGATTTTAAAAGTGTCCCTGTCACTCACTCTAATCCTTTCTACCCTTGAGAACCCTCTTCTTCTATCTTTCTTCCAAGTATTTTACTATCTTCTGTTAGGGGCTCCAAGGCAGTATAAAACACAGTCACTCACACTTCCATATGAAGAATAGATCACAACTATGGCCCAAGATGCAGGAGGGAGGAGGGGGTTGGGAGGGGAGGAGGGAGGTCAGATTGAGAGAGAGGGAATGGTGGGATCACACCTATGGTGCATAATGCAAGGGCACATGTTGGATCTATTAGTATAGAGTATAAATGTTAACACAATAATTAAGTAAATGAGATGAGGTATATGTTAACCAGTGTGATGTAAGCGTTCCTAATTCTATATGAAATCAGCACATGGTACCCCATAAATGCATTAATGTATACATGATCTATGTGTTTATGATTTAATAAAAAATATATAAATAAAAAAATAAAATCCAAATGTGAAAATGGCATTATGGAAAAAAAAAACCCACACAATCTGGCACCATGTCATCTGTCTTGCCTGTTTCAGAAGCTAACACAGACTGTATCTTTTCATAAAGACAAACCTTTAAGTGAAGTGACCATCTCTCCTTTAGCACTTATTCACAAATCTGTATCTAATAGTAACTGAATGAGTATCCATTAAGAAGCATAAATAACAAAGGCTACTATGAATAAATTAGCAGCTTTAATCAAAAAAGCATAAATGTGTGTCTATATGTGTGTGTATTTGGGTTGTATGTGTATTATGCGTCCATCTGCGTCTTACACAGCCAGCTGGCTATGAAACAATTTTTATACAGCTGGGAAACAATGCTGATGTAGGCCTGGGTCCCTAGACCTCCAGGGTTAGGATTCTGCCTACTTTTTTTCTTTTTTTTGCAGTTTTTGACCAGGGTTGGGCTCTAACATGCCACCCCCATTATATGGGGCCACTGCCCTACTCCTTGAGCCACAGGCACCGCCCAAGGATCCTGTCTACATTTATACACAAAAAGGTGCAGTTGAGAAGGGCAAATCTGCTAAGAAATCCAGCTCATGCTCTAATCACCAAGTCTTTCACCCCTCTGCTTGGAGGAAAGATGGTACTTTAACTAATTACTTTGTCCAGATAGGCCCCTTTCTCTGTTTAGTGCAAAGGCACCTCTATGCCAGCCCCGCCCTGTCTAGGAACTGGTCGCAAGTGACCCTGACTCAGACAGGATCTGGATTCTAGCTCTGTTGTGTGGCATGTGGCAAGTCAACTTCACCTCCCCAAGCTTCAGCCCCCTTATCTCTCCCTCCCTTTCGCTCTCGCTCTCTCCCCGTTGGGTTGCGGTAACGCCCACCGCACTCCCCTTACCTTCATAGACTTCTTGAAGCTGTAACAAGGAGACAGACCCTGGTCCCCAGGCTCTGTGTGTATCTTACAGAACACTATTCCCCTTTCAAATAGATAGATTTGCCTCTGGCTGGGCTTAAATCGAATAAAATCCTTCATTTTATAACGATCCTTGTGAATCGTCCAGACGTTGAAAGCGCCATGCATCAGCATCTTGCCCAGTTTCCCGATATCATCCTTGGAAACAAAGACATACAGAAAAAGGAGCTGTTAAGTTACACGACAAAGAAAGAATGCTTTGGAGTCTGTTCTCAAATTACAAAGCACGCTTATTTGAGGTTGACAATTTTAGCCACTTAGACTAATCTGTCACTAAATCAAAGCTACAATTCTGCAAGCTTCACTGAGCAAGGCACCATTCTCAGCTATGTAAGGAAATCAGTTGAGCTAGGAAGGCAATACTATACATAAAGGATGTCAGAAATACTTGAAATAAAAATATTGTACATCTGTCTTATAATTAATTTTAGCTAGCAAAATTCTATTTCCCTTCCTTGTGTTTGATACATGATAGTCTACTCGAAAAAGGTAAGAAATTAACGTTTCAGTTCTGCTCAGAACACGGACAGAATTTTGCTGAATTATGGACCTATAACAATCTGTGTGCTCCATTTGCATCTTAACATCTGCTTCAGGTGTATGAGAACCTGAGCACAGGAGGTTTGTTCAGAAAGGAGAAAGCTTAGTGTGACATAATCTTCATAACATTGTAATAGAAACAGTCATTTTATCTTTCTCTCTGTTTTTCAGAGTGAGTAGATAGGCCAGGCACGGTGGCTCAGGCCTATAACCCTAGCAGTCTGGGAGGTTGAGGCAGGTGGATTGCTTGAGCTCAAGAGTTCAAGACCAGCCCCAGCAAGAGCAAGACTCCATCTCTACTAAAAATAGAAAAACTGGCCAGGCTTTGTGGTAGGTGCCTGTAGTCTCAGTTACTGGGGAGGCTGAAGCAAGAGGATCTCTTGAGCTCAAGAGTTTGAGGTTGCTCTGACCTGGGCTGACTCTCCAGCACTCTACCAAGGGCAACAGAGTAGACTTCGTCTCAAAACAAACAAATAAATAAACAGAGTGAGTAGACAGTATAAAGACAACCCCAAGGGACAGATTTTCTAAAAAGCCTATTTAACCCTAGGGCACACATTTGTGCTGCCTCTCTCTCCACCAGCAAGTCGCCCCCGCCCCATAGGTCTGGCCAACAGTATAAATGAGATGACCCTTCCTTTTCTAAGCTCTCTTCAAAGGACAGTGCAGTGAGATCAGCGAGAGGTATGGTATTTTATCTGGTATTTTAAAAAACTTAGACTGCTTAACATCAAAATGTCAAAAAGAGCAAATTATTTGAACAGGACTAGGACAAAGAAATCTCCCTAAGTTACATCTAACTTAGATAAATCCCTGTGATTTTTGAGACTAAGTACTAAAAATATGTACTTATAATTGAGTAGATATTTTAATAATTTACTGTTTATGTGTTGAGCAAACTATAAATATCTTGTATTCATTTTATTTAAAAACATTGTTTTGTATAGACAAGGGCTAACTGTGTTGCTCACGCTGGTCTTGAATTCCTAGCCTCAAGCGATCCTCCCCCTTTAGCCTCCCAAATCACTGGTATTATAGGTATGAACCACCATGTCCCCCTATGAATATCTTTCTCAAAAAATTGACTGTACTTCTGAAATTTTAAAATAAAAACTTCAAGAGCAATCAATACAGTCCAGTCATTTCCATAACAGTGTGGCGTTATTTTCTACACTAATTTTCCTTTTATGCTCAAGGAAAGGTTTTACACATTTGTACTTTCTCACGACCAGTAGAAGATGGCACAGTGTCGGCTAAGGTGTTTGCCAAGGCTGTGGCTGATATAGAGGAAACAACCCTGACCACAGCCCCATGGAAGAGGCAAACTTGGGCAGCAAGGTTTGCACTTGTCACCTCTGAACTTGACTTCTCACCCCACCTGCGGTCATGCTGCTTGCATCTTGATAGGCAAGTGACTAAGGGATATGAACCCAGAGAGGGGACAGCAACTGACCACAGGGCCCCAGTAGAAGAAAGACTGCTGAGTGGCCAGTGTGATGCCTATGTGAGCTGAAGAAGGCTGAGAAGCTGGCAGTGACAGGAAGAGGTGCCTGTGGGACTTGATGAGAAAGTAGGTGGTGGAAAAACTGAGAAGCAAACAGCACTGTGAAGAAATGAGTCACCAGAAACTGTGAAGAGAAAAAGACGCTGGTGGAGGGCAGACACCTGCCAGTAGGATAGGGAGGGAATAGCAGGCATGCGGGAGTGCCTGGCACAGATGGGCGCGCACACAGGGAAGAACCCCGATTCCCTCCCTACACCAGGGCCTCAGAGCCGCTGTGCATCCCCCATGCGTTCAGTCCCATCTCTGTGTGCCTGGCTCTGCCATTGTCCTGACTCTTCCTGAGTCTCTGTGGGTCAGCTTTTCCAGCAGACCCATCATTGATGGAGGTCACTGCAGAGAACTGCTGGGTCTTTCGAGTCTGGCTACAACATGTAACTGCATATCTCTGGCTCATCTTGCATAAATGTTCTCAGGGCCAGGCTCATGATGGAATGACGTGTCACTGATCAAGATACAACCTCCAGCGAGCAAGCACACGCTCTGCACGGTGCTGAGGGAGGGCAGGCGCTCACTGCATTGCCAGCAGGGCTGTGCTGTGTGGAGCCCCGCTCCTTCAAAGGGAAGCTATGGGGACAGTCCCAGAGCAGGCCAGCACGACCGCTGGGTATCTTTTCAATCATCAGTAGCTTCCTTTCCAACCAGACTGTAGTTGATCCCAAGATCAGATACTTGTTCCCTAGTAAGTTTTTAGGCATTTATTGTCATTTAGTGGTGCCTGGGGGTACAGGGCATAGAATTGGGTAGAATAGTCTCCCCCCTCAAAACTCATATCTACTGGAACTTCAGAACATAAACTTATTGGAAAGAGGGTCTCTGTAGATGTGATTAATTAAAATGAGGTCACATTGAATCAGGATGAGTCTAATCTAATGGCTGGTATCCTTATAAAAAGAGAAAACAGAAACTCAGAGTCACACATTGAGGCAAGACAGTCTTGTGATGACAAGGAAGAACTTGGATTGACACAGTGCTCAGCCAAGGAACTCCAACAAATGCTGGCAACCAGCAGAAGCCAGGAAGAGACAAGGGAGGATTCTTCCCTGGAGCCTTCAAGGGAGGACAGTCCTACTGTCACCTTGACTTTGGACATGTGGGCTTCAACACTGAGAGAACAGATTTATATTGTCTTAAGTCACCGGGTTTGTGGTACTTTGTCACAGTGGCTCAAGGAAGCTGATAAACTCTCAACAGTTTTGCACTAGTGACCAAGAAGTGTGGCTATGTTACATGGCTATGTTGAAGAACCTGATGGTTGTGAGCTTGGCGACGGAACACAGGAGCTACCTCAAACAAATAAGCCAGTGTTAGGTTAGATGGCCTCCTGCTATACGGGAAGCAATCACAAAATCAACTAGTAAATGCTACCGTTTTCATGCACGGGCATCATGTAAGTAAGAGGTCCCATATAAAACTTTTACGCCTGCCCACATTGGCGAAATGAAGAATCTGACTGAGAGAGTGAATCTAGGGAAGCCAGCCTCAGCAAGAGACCTCTTTTGGGTGCCCAAGTTTCCATTCCTGGCAGTGGGACTAATGTGACAGTCACACACTTCTTGTACAAAGTAGCAGGAAACATCTGGATAAGTGAACCAACACAAAACCTGGTGCAGACACTAAAAGCAGAAGCTGTGGGAGCCATGATTAAACAAGCCAGAAGCAAAAGGTTCCTTCCTTTCCAGCCTAAGCAGGTCCCTCTATAACTCAGGACTAGGGCTGTTTGCTCTGTACCTTCTAACCACCAGGATATCTCTGATGCCAATATCACTAGGGTGGGAAGATGCACAAGGCAGTTTCATTGTGTCACTAGGATTATTTACTCAGCCTTATCCCTGCAGCCAATACTATGGAAGGGCAAAAGGGAACTAAAATGGAAATAAAATACCTGGACCTAGCCCACGATGAACTTGCAAGAAAAATACATCCTTTACTGAATTTGTTCCAGAAAAGAAAAACGTTTCGTTCAACCTTTATTATTCAACTTTGGATGTTCCTAGCAAGTCATTTTATTTGTTTGTTTGTTTTTACTCTGTTTCAAGGGATGGAACAGTGGCATCATCACAGTTCATTGTGACCTCATGCTCCTGACCTCAGACCTCAGGCAACACTCCATCTTGGCCTCCCAAAGTGCTAGGATTATAGGTGTGAGTCACTGAGCCTGCCCTAAGTCAGCATTTAAAGGTATCTCTATTATGCATTGGATTCCAATACAGAAAAAACTTTTTTTTTAATTTGCAGAATGTAAATGACATCCCAGTAATTTATTTCACATAAAACAAAACAAACTTGTTAAAAAAATTTTCAAGCCGGTGGTGCCTGTGGCTCAATGAGTAGAGCGCTGGCCCCATATACCAAGGCTGGTGGGTTCAAACCCGGCCCCAGCCAAACTGCAACAAAAAATAGCCGGGTGTTGTGGTGGATGCCTGTAGTCCCAGCTACTCGGGAGGCTGAGGCAAGAGAATCGCCTAAGTCCAAAAGCTGGAGGTTGCGGTGAGCTGTGATGCCACAGCACTCCACCGAGGGCAACAAAGTGAGACTCTGTCTCTAAAAAAAAAAAGAAAAAGAAATTTCAACTCCTGTGATCAAATTAAACCAAGGACTAATTGAGCATGCACAAGAGAAAGAAAATATAAGTATTGGGAGAGAATTTTTTTCTAGTTGTTTGAATTATGAATTGATCCATTCACATTCAATTTCTCTCCTTTATAGAATCATGCTAATGGAGAGTTTCAAGGTCTTTCTCCACTCTTGGAGACAGACTCTTTCCTCTTTGGGCAGAATGTATTTTTACTCTGTGTAACTTCCTTCTACTTTCTTTCTTTTTCTCCTCTGATAAACGGTTTGTGTGAGGAAATGAAACTAGTGAATTTCAAGAAGAGAAAATAAGAGGTTAAGTTCTAGATTCATCCCTGCATGTAGCATGTGACTATTCACACCTGGAATAAAGTTCTACAAAACTGAGCCAAAGAATCCCAGAACCCTTACCTCTGAGTTAGAAGTAGTTGAGTTCTTAGTCAACTCTAACCAGAACCAAAAAAAAAAACTGTGGCTGGTACCCTGGCTAGGGAGAAATGGTCTAAGCTGACAGTCACATGATCTTGGGTTAGTTAATTATTCTTTACATGGATCTGCTCTGGAATTAGAAAGTTAAAAATTCCAGTGCTTACTCTTCCACAATTCAATAGGATTATATAAAACTGTCAGGAGAAATAACTCATGTAGTAGATACAAAAGCAAGTTAAAGCCTTAGCTGAAAAGAAACCATATAGCATCTGTCAGTGTGCATCTGGCACAATTCTGAAGACACCATGTGCATCTGGCACAATTCGGAAGACACACAGGCAAAAAAGGCCAGTTGTTGCATTTGGCGTAAAATATCTAATAATCTATAAGCTAGTTCATCTTATTTGCATATAAGCTGGTTGGAATGAAATTAGATCGCTACTTCCTCGTGTTTTAATCATTCTTTTTCTAACAACTCCCTCTTCCAGTGTTATTTATTTTCAGTTTCCTGGTTTGCATATCACTCCCAGACGTTCTTTTCATTCAAGAAAATAGAGGGGTAGCTGACACCTGACAAGGTAAAAGAAAAGAGCAAAACGATATCCTAAATTGATTAAACAAATTGTTCCCTCTACTTTCCTTAGCTGAAGAAAGAAAATTATTGCTAAGAAACAATCCCCCTCAGATGCATTAACTCTGCCCTGTAGTTCATGAAACACCCTCTTGAATCACATCAGTCATCATCAGAGAACACCTGGGAGACCCAAAGGACAGTGACAGCATCCTGCCTGGGATCACAGCAAATCCAGTGAGGCTAAGTTTCTGAGATGCTGGCCAGCGAAATTCCAGGAAGAGAATTAATTATGATCACATTTTTTGGCTTCTAAATAATCTTTCTAGTTTAATCTGTGACAAGGAAAAGCAAAGCAAAGTCTTTACCTCTACCAAGATCTCAATAAATAGTATGTTCAAAACCAAGCAAAAATGAAAAGGGAAAAAAGAGAAGGAAAGTCTTTTGTCTAAAATATAATCCTTAAAATGCTTGAAACCTCTGTGACTAAAAGACTGATGGCTTCCCAAAGGTGTCCATATCCGAATCCCTGGAATCTGAGAATATGTCAGGTTCTATGGCAAATGGGAGTTAAGGGGGAAGATGAAATTAAGATTGTTAATCCAGGGCGGCACCTGTGGCTCAGTGGGTAGGGTGCCGGCCCCATATACGGAGGGTAGCAGGTTCGAACCAGGCCCGGCCAAACTGCAACAAAACATAGCCAGGTGTTATGGCGGGCACCTGTAGTCCCAACTACTTGGGGGGCTGAGGCAAGAGAACTGCCTAAGCCCAGGAGTTGGAGGTTGCTGTGAGCTGTGACATCACAGCACTCTACCAGGGCAACATAGTGAGACTCTGTCTCAAAAAAAAGAAAGCGGGTAGTGGGTGTGGGGGTTCAGTAGGTTCCCATCCAGCAGGTATAATGCATGGCTAGTTGGCACACTCCCTGGGAACAGGACACAGCTACCACTTGGACTTCAACTTTACCTGTGTAAATTACATAACCAGTGGTTTATACTCTCCTGTTAATCTGAAATAACTTTAAAAGTGACAGAGAAGCACAAGAAAAGGTCAGAGTGCTATGATGTGAGAACTCCACTGGAGGCTGGAGGAAGGGGCCATGAACTAAGGAATGTGGGTGGCTCTTTTAAGCTGGAAAACTCAAGCAAGGAAACAGATTTGCTCCCAGTCTCCAAAAAGGAAGGCAAACCCCTTGATCTTAGCACATGAGACTGGGTTGAACTTTTGACCCAGGAACTGCCATGCTAAGCCACCAAGCTTGTAATTCATTATGACGGTGATAAAAAACAAACACACCTGAATCAAAATCTGAACCACAGGGTGAAAAACAGTTGAATATGAAGTGTGTCTCATTACCAAAGAGGTCACGCAGTTAGAGTGAACAGTTTATGTGAGATGCCTGGGACTGGCACGCTAGGGATCAACACTGCTGTTTACCAGGGAGCAGGGACAGGTGGGGGGAGGAGCAGGTTCAGACTCTCACTTGTCCAGCCATTTGCTTCGGTAGAAAAGACCGTCCAAAGAGTGTGTGGGCTTTCCTGTTCCTAAACTTTCACTACTATAAAACCAAAAAAGGAAATTGAGATTTAACCAATGTCAGTGCCCAGAAGAGAGAAGAGGAGTGGCTGGAGGGGATCCAGGGGTGGGAAAGTGGAGCAACCAAGCAGTATTTAGTATCGTCTGAGGGGGCCGGTGCAGGGAGGTGGGCACCTAGAACACCCCTGGGGTCTCCTCCGCACATGCCCCGCTCACCAGGTGGGGATCCCCGCCACTCCCAAAGGCTCAAGACTCCCCTTCCCTCCCTGCTTGGTGATTGCATCCTTGTGGTGATCCATTTTGTCTCCTTTTCAAGAACCAGCAGAGCTGGGGTGGGCCCGTGCCTGAGGCAGGGAAAAAGGGCACGTGTGAGTGCGTGAGTGTGCGTGTGTGTGTGTGTGTGTGTGTGTCCAGGAAGGGAAAAAGGTGGATCAGCGATTTTACTTGAAAACAAGCTCCATCCCTTTTCTGTATTTATGAGAAGGAAAGATCCGAGCAAAGCAGCGCTACACCCAAGTGTGTGTGAATTGAATGGAGATATTTCTTTCCTCTTTTATTTTCGTTTTTTCTTTTCTTTAAAGAAAGTTTTATTTTATTGTTTATTTTACTTTTTTGGTAAAAAAACAACTGAAATACGGACTAGAAAAGCTGTTTTTCAGGCTGACAGCCCAATTAAGGCTAGTTGGGACCTTGCATAGTAAAACAGGAATCATAGTGCCAGTGAGGGCCAGGGAGTCTTTTTTTTTTTTTTTTTTTTAGGTCCAATGAGTATTTGTGAGTCCTTGTGTCATCTTTTGGGCACTGTTTTTTTATACAAGGGCAAAAACCTTTGTATCTAGGGGAAAAAATAATTTTTTTTAATTAAAAAGGAAAATAAATGATTTTTTAAAAAAGGAGAGCGGAGCTGAGAGCGCTCCACCCTCCAGTGTCAGTCTGGAAACACACTCTCTTGGGTTTTCTTTCAACCATTTGGATCAGGGGATGCACGCTGTATACCTGTTGGGCCTCTGCGGGGACCCACAGTGTGCAATAGGGCTTAACTCTCACATAGGACCCGTTTTCAAAATACTTTTCTCAGAGAAACTCTGAGCTAAGAAGGAAAAATCTTACCAATCTTTTTTAATAATTCCATAAATTAGAAAATAAATGACTCCTTTGGTACAGTCCCCTGCCCGGGTACATTCTGGCCCCCGAGTTTCTGGTTTGTCCAATCTGTGGGTCAGTTAAGACCCTGAGAAATATACCCAAGATTCTGGAAGGTGCCAGGGGCTGCACGGGTTTGCCGTTTTGGTGACCCTCCTCAGAGCCACATCTCCTTGCCCAGATTATTTCTTTAACGTTGCCACAGCCTACCCTACCTTGGAAATACTGTCCCTGCCTTTGGTGTGAAATCCCAACACTTGTATGGAACATACCGGACATCCAGTGACCGCTGCCAGGTCCACGGCTAGCTCACAGGACTTGATCAAATCCTCTATCACCGCCAAAGCTTGTTGTAGTTCAGCTGAGAACGGTGAATCCTTGGTCCTCTTTGGCCCATTCTGTGGAAAACAAATGCCTTGTTGGAAACCAAAACCAGACCACCTACCAGATGAAGAAGGAAAACGAGGCAAGACTGAGCGGCAGATGCAGCCAGCAGTGACTGAGAACGTGGGCGCACTCACTTGCCTCCTGCCCCCAAAGAACAGTGGCAGAGGATGTGATACACAGGCAAGTGACACATCTGCTAACCTTCTGCACATCGTATTAGGCAATGAAGTTCCCAAAACCACTGACATTATGTTCCTGCTATATAAGAAATGTAAAGAACTCAGCTTTTTTAAAGCATGGAAAAACCAAGCCCCTTTAGATAGGCTTCTCCTCCTTTTAGCCCCCTACCCCTGGGGCTTACTGAAAAATGCCAACTGAGTAAATATAGGTTTAATGTGAAAAGCTTATTCCTATGGGTAAAATTATACTTAAAACCATTCCGGAGGAGGACACTTGTAAACTCCTATAGAGGCTAAGAACAGGCTGCCATGTGGAGAGTCCCCAGTGATTTCGGTGTAAAAACCCTAACGCTCACATTTCGTTCGCTGAATCTCCCCCAGCTCTGTCCTTCCTTGCTTTTACCTGGCCCAACCCTGTTCATGTTGGACCATAATTAAAGATACCAAAGAGGTAAGCCAACATGCTCTGAAAGAGATGGCTGTCCCCATCATTGACCCAGTGACACTTAGGATGCGAGAGGGCTGACTGTTTCAGTTCTAAAGGCTTTGGCTTGGGTTATCTGTATTTTATTCCTCTGGTACCTACAGGGCATATATCTCTGAGACCTGGTAAACACAAACAAGAAAGTCTGGTCTGTTCCGTGTATTTTCTTTAACACTTAAATTTCTACTACAAAGATCAGACAGCTCTTTGCTGTTCCCCGCCTAGACCCACATCTTTTTGTCCTCCACAGTGTGATGTATTCAAAGGGCCAGGGGTTTTCTTTTCTTTCCTTTTTTTATTAAATGATAGCTGAAGCATTGGGTATTAGATCTGAGCGGCAGGGCTGAAGAGAAGACAAGCCGATACTGCCTTCACCGAGCAATGTGCCCTGGGGACTTGCGTCTCACTCACAGTAAATAAACTTTAGTTCCTGGTAAATGACAACAGGTTCTCACCTGAGTTTGGGGTCAAAATTTCTTCTTATACCAGGCATCTTTCTCCTTACCTAACACTTAAAACTCATTTTTTTTTTTATAGGTATCTGCTCAGACCCCTCTCCTTCCCATTGACCCTCCTCTTACAAACAAACCAGGCAACTAGTTTTACAGTGTGGAAGGTGGGGCTCAGAGAAGTTCTTACATGGTTTTTTTTTCCCTCCTCCCATACAAAGAGTTTTTTCCAGCAAAAAGACAGAAAAAGAAAAAGAAGCGATACAAAGTGAGAGTGCAAGAGGCACAGAATCACAAAGGGAAAATATCTTCCAGAGAGAGAGGAACTGGCCAGTCTCCAGGAGTGGAGAAAAAGACGCCTTACCAGCACTGTTAACCTCCTGACTGGAGCTAGCTCCCCCTGGCTCAGGCGGGGCCCTGAACTGCTTCCTTTGGAGCAGGGGGAGCGTGCAAACGAAGGCCCCTTGAGACACTTGTTAAAAACAGAATATCTTATAGGAAATTTAGAAGAAACCCCACTCTAAATCACGAATTTCTTTCTAACTTAGCGAGGCGACCACCTATTCCAAGAGAACCTTGGTGGTTTCTCCTAGACTTCTCTATCTCTCTCTCTCTTTCTCTCTCTTTCTTTCTTTCAGAGGACAGCAATGCAGAAGGCACATAACTTAGATATGCTAAGAAGCACAAAGAAGAAACCATAAATCAGACATAATCCTCTCAGCACTTGGGAAAACCAGAGCAGACATTTTATCATATTTATTTATTTCCAGTCTTTCATGTGTGCATTTTGCAATTCACTTAATTTTGAATTCCCATTAAATTTGTTTTACATGAAAGAAAAAAAAATATATTACCACTTCTCGCTAGGCTGCAAATACCTACTTCAAAATTGCCTTTAATTTTTTGTTTTTCTCCTGACTGTGAATTATAAGACACATCCCATTTTAGAAAACTGAAAAAAAAAATCATAAGCAAGGAAAATAATATTGCTATAAATCCTTCCACCTATAGGCTAACGCCATTAGCAGTTATATAAAACGTAATATTTACAATGCAGTACCTTAGTTGAGCCTCCTTCCTGGTCACCTGGCTCTATCTTCAGATCTTCAGGAGACTCAAAATCCAGCAGACCCTGCATTAACCCAAAAGCCTTGTGAAAAATCAAAAGTAGACTGCTAACAAAATGTACTGTGCAAACAACTTACAGCTAACCCGGAATGGATGTAAATTTGTAAGAGGGAAAGAATGAGTGATCTATTTGGCACAGAGTTCTTTCCACAAACGCAGAATCATACTGTATACACTATTTGGTGGCTACTTTTCCTCGTTTGACAATGTATCAGGAACATTTTCCCATGATGTATTTTTGTTATAGATGGTAGAGTATATATAAGTGCATTTTATAGTTAAACCATAAGTGAATTATAATTATGAATTATGATGTTCCCCTACTTTTAAACATTTTAGGTTCAACGTTTTTGACTATAATAATAATTATTATTTTGGTGGATTTTTCTTAAGGCTAAATTCCAAGAGGAAGAATTGTAAATGTAAAGAATTTGGGGGCATATTTCCAGTTTCTTTAGAGAAGAACTGTGCTCCTGCCAGCCTGTTTCACTGGCCCTTAGCCTACACGGTGCATTACCATTTAACACAAAATATTTGCCAATTGAATCAACAGAGAAATCCTACCTCACTGTTGTTTTAATTTGAATTCCTAAGATAACTAGAGATGTAGAACATTAAAAAATTTGCCATTAGTATTTATTTTTTGTAAACTGCCCGTGTCCTTTGTTCATCTTTTTGTTATTTATTTCTAGGAGTTTGTTATTAATTAAGCAGACCAACCTCTTTAACGTACTTTAGTAACATTTTTCCCAATGTTTCCTGTGTCTTTGTTTTTTATGGTGTAATCTACCATTCCTTGCCCTTTCTCTTATATTAATACTTGGAAAGGATTTCCCACACCGGGATTCCACTTTCCTTTCTAAAGCACGAGGCCATGGGTCCAACCCACAGGCTCTTTCAAGCCAGTTGACCCTCAGGGGGTGCAGGACGAGCTCCGCCTCTCAGGGTAGAGGACATGCGCAGTCCTTCCTGTCTTTACGGGCATACCAAAGGCTTAAGCTGGCTTCCAGGCACCACCATGCTTAGCTAGGAAATGGTTTGGAGTATTTCATAGTGATTCTATCTTGTTTCCTTAGTGAAAGGCAGCTAACAAAATCCCCTAAATTCTTTGAGTTCAGGCATCCTGGAGGCCTCAGGGCAGGAGCCAGAGACAGGAGGAATATGCCGGAGTCTGCCTTTCTAACACTAAGGGTCTACGCCCTTCTGGGGGTCGTGTGTAACCTAGTCTGTGTAATAGCTCCTCTGTGGGAAAGCTCCAGGATGAGGAAAGAGGGAAGACCACCACGTATGTCCTGCTCCCTCCTCCCTGGGCCCAGAGGTAAGACTTGCAGAGTGCTGATGACTGCAATGAGCTCGCAGAGGCTGCCCCGAGGGAAATGGATCCTTAGCCTCGTTCCCACCCTGGTGGGACAGTCTTGATGTCTAAAGTAACAGCTACCCATGTCGTGAAGCCTACTGGGGGTGGGCTCTGCCCAGCTCACTGATTACTCACCTGCTTGGCCATGGCCTTAAGGAGGAGGAGATTCCATTGCCTCATTTTACATAGGAAAAAACCAAGGCTCAAGAAGTCAAGGTCTCATAACTGGTAAACAGCGGAGTGGGTACAGTGAGGCTGAAACTGAAACTTGCGGTAGAGAGCTGAAAGAAGTAGCTCTTTTTGTTCAGAGACAGGGTCTGGCTATGGTGCTCAGGCTGGCCTTGAACTCAAACTATCCTCCTGCCTCAGCCTCCCCAGTGCTGGATTTACAGGTACACACTGGCCTGAAAGGGTAACTTTTTCTAAGGGCAGATGAGTTTGATCTTTCCCTTAACAGTTTAGACCTTTGCTTGGCATGTCTGATTGTGAGAATTAAATAAGAAGTAAATAATAGGTTCTTTTTTGTTTTTGTTTTTTTCAATTAGGAGACAGTGGCCGCAGGTCAAGAATACCTAAATACCTTATATAGGTTAATTCAAAAGACAACTTATAGGGGTTGCCCAGACCCTTCTGTCAAGCTTATTCCTGGGAAACCAGCCTGGATAGACCCTCATGTCCTGCTTGGGACCTGGGAGGTGTTTACTATTGGAGGCAATACCTCACTGCTAAAGAGGAGTGCAGATGAGAGAGAGGGGGAGAGAGAGAGCTACTCGGGACTTTAGATACAACATTCCCTGTTACACTGCTCTTGGAGTAAGATTCTAAATCTAAGAGTGGGGGCCGGTGTTGTAAAAGGAGAGGAGATTCCAGTTTTGCCGCTTTTTATCCACTGTATAAATGCACCTTAAACAGTACCTTTTCCCTAAGTTCTTTGCCTCATTTGTAAAATGGCTGAGACAGAGTCTCTGGCTGCTTCCCCTGCCCTGCCAGCGGCCAGCAGTGTGGCTATGCCCCCTTCCCCCCAAAGCCAAAGCGCTCTTGTGCCCTGAGCTAGGCTAGATCTTGGACTAACCAGGCTGCCAGGTCCCTTCCTTCTCTAGGATTCTCTGCTTTTACTTCTCATTGAGAGGGGTGGTTTAGACTTGAAGAAAGAAAATTGTGAAGGATGGACATACCTTCAGCCTTAGAAGACCAAGTCACAGCTCTCCCATGTGTAAAGAAAAGACTGCCAAGTACAGGCACCCCTTTCCCAGCACAGAAAAGCTCTTTGACTTTACCTTCAGCAGCATCTGGTATTTTATAAGTCTCCGGCTGGGTCCTCTAAGATACTTAAAAAGAGGAAGGTTGTGATCCAGTTGGCGCTGGCATACCTTTAAAAGGAAACAGATACAACATAAAACAAAACAAACCAGAGAGAGAGAGAGAGAGAGAGAGAGAGAGAGAGAGGGGACACAAAAGCGGTAGCATTCAGATACAAGAAACAAAATGGCTTTTTGTGGACAAGAGTTCCAGAATGCTCCTAAGTTGTTTAGTCCCCTAGAGCAGTGTATGAAAATGAGAGAGCCTTGGCTAATACGGAGGGTGCCAAAAAATGTGTACACATTTTAAGAGCAGAAAAAATTATATTGAATTTCTAATACTCAAGTCACAACTGACTTCTGCAATTTTAAGAGATGTTCGATGTGATGTGTATTCATCTTTTGTTATCAATTCAATACAAATTTTTTCTTTCTTAAAATGTGTATACTTTTTTTGGCACCCTCTCTATTTTTAAAAGCAACTAAGGAAGCAAAACCATTTATTCTTTTTAGAAAGCAAATCCACCAGTAGGCCATTTTGAGCCTGGAGCCCCCC